GTACAGCTCAAGTCCTAAGGCCTCATTGTCTTGAGGATGTTCTTTGGCTGCACCAAGGAGCCTTTTTGTGTCCTTCCTGTGCTTGGAGTATGTGCTTGTGTACGCTGGGTTTTGCATTTTTGCAAAAAGAAAGCTTGAGTTCCAATCACAAAACAGCAAACATGTCTTAGATTAAGTTATGTTTTGATTGAAATGCAGCATGGATGGTCTTTGAGTTTTATCTTAAGGCAGTAACTCTAGGGATTTGACTCTCAAATCTAAGGAACTTGTGCAGTCTAAACTTGGCATCTGATCTATCCATAAGTTTAACTGGAAAAGTGTTCAGAGAGGAATTCCTCTGAGTAAGAACATACGGTGCACTTCCTTACACCCATAGAAAAGTTAGAAGTTTTCTAACTCTGTTTCCTTTTAGTGAACAGGTTCTAGTTCTAGTTTGTGGATTTTAGATCTAGTTTTTCACAAGTTATCAGAACACTGTGTTTTATAAACCCATGATCAGTTGTGTGAGTTGTTTCTTATTTAAGTTGCTAGAAGCTTCTTCGGATATTTAAAACAGAAGCAATATATTGTTGAAAGTATAGTCTGGATGATGTATAACAATATTTGATCCATAGCTTCTTATTTTTATTCCCAAGAAAAGGGAACATTTTTTTTCTAAAGAGTGACAACAATATGGTTTTTACATAGACCCAATGGTGCAGATTTCATATTGAATAATTATTTATTGACATTGATCTAGAAATTTAATATTATGTATTGCATTAGTCTGGGTTCTCTGAGGAGCAGAAACCAAGATGGGAACAGAAGTGTAAAAGATTTGTTGGGTGAAATGCCTGTGAGGGAAACCGTGGAGGCAACTGGATGAGGCTGGGAGGGCAATCGGATTGAAATGCACATCTGATCCCTGAGCAAAGAGAGAGGGAAGGAAGGAAGAGAGGTCTTGGACTGCAGTGCAAGTCTAAGAAAGTTTTGGCAGGTTCAATGAGAAGTCCTTGAGCTAAAATTCCTGGGCCAGAGGAGCACTGTGCCTTGAGTGGAGGGGCCTGCCTGGGTACCCACCCTGCTGTGCTCATCATTGGCTAGGAGCAGCCTCAAGGGGACGTGGGCTCAGCATGAACAAGGTGGCAGTGGAATCAGAGGGTGCAGCTGGAGCCAGTCAGTTTTGCTTCCACAGCAGCCGATCTGAAAGGCTCATTTTCATGGCCACCGCATATGTGAATATTTGACTACCAAATGCTTTGCTGAAAGCATGTGCCTAATTAGGGAATACATTAAATCTAACCCCGATAAAGGAAGACAAATGCTGTATTTCTATAGAGACAGAAAGGTAGGCTAATTCCATGGCACATTTTCTTTACTGATATATATATCAATTTGTTAGGCCCTTTAAAAATGAAGTTCTGAATTAAATTGAATGTAGGAACTTACTTGGGCTGCAAATTGCATAGTCACCAGAGTATGCCTCAGATTTAAAAAATTTTTTTACTGGGATTTGTGTAAGGAAGGCTGGAAGTTTAGGTCCTATTCCTTATTCCTAGGACTTTCAATCTTGCAGGGAAAAAAAAAGACAAAAGCCTTTGGAAAGATAACGGTTGTGCTTTGAAAGTCCTATTTGGAAACTACGTTGAACGTGACAATTAGAATGAGTCCTTTCAAGTAGAACAGCCCTCAGCATCTGTCATACGTTCTATGTCAGAGGTCTTATTGAATATCAAGAAGGGGAGCTGCAAAGTTATGTTATTCTCTAAGACCAGTTTGGCTTTGATGTAGCCCTCATCACTAAGATCCAAACCTCCGTGTTCTGGAAGAGCAGTTACTTTTTTCACTATAAAAGAGCATAGTCAAAATCATTGTTAGCTATGAGCATGTCTTATTGCCCTAGAATGACTGCCAAGGTGGTTCCCTTGTTTGTCATCCCCACTTCTCACCAGTCCTGGCAGAGCATAGTTGCCCTTCCCTTCTGCAGTCAGACTCCTTTCCCCTTCTCTTAGCCTCACACACAGTATTAGGAATCTTGTTTCAAATATTAGCCATTGGGCTTTTGCAAGTAAAATATAAAGTTGGGCACAGGTGTGAAGATTTCAAAGGGCATTTGTTGGTACTTTTTAAAAGATGGCTGATCTTATTAGTTGATATTGATAGTTTAAAATATCACATGTGCTTTTTTTTTTTTTTGGTGAGGAAGATTGGCCCTGAGCTAACATCTGTTGCCAATCTTCCTCTTTTTGCTGGAGGAAGATTATTGCTGAGCTAACATCTGTGCCAGTCTTCCTCTATTTTGTATGTAGGACGCCGCCACAGCATGGCTTGATGAGTGGTATGTACGTCCATGCCCGGGGTCCAAACCCATGAACCCCGGATGGCTGAGGTGGAATGTGAGAACTTAACCACTGACCCCACATGCTTATTATTTTAAAGAGGTGGAAAATAGGAATGAGAATGAGAGGAATTAAAGAGGAAAATGGACTCAGAGAAGTGGCTGAGTGCAGTTGACACACATCAGACTTGGCCTAAAGATGATTTGTGTCTGATCCCATCCTCCCACACACCTGGGCCTGGCCTGAGCTCAGGGCACAGAGACTGTATGGAATCCCATGGTCATCCCAGGGATGCTGCCAAAGGTCACTGATCTAAACCTTAGCTGTCTGTGTAAATGAGCCATCAGTCGATAGGGATCAGAGACAGGAAATTCAGTAAGAAGCCACAAGAATCAGAGATCAGTCTAGGCTAAGAAGGTTTGAAAGAAAGTATGGTAGTTAGAGCAATGGGATTTTATTTTCTTGTTAGGCAGGAATAGGGCTATTAAAGGTACTAAACTAGGGTAGATGATTGGAAAACAGGTACCATGTTTTTTATTGCAGCTTTATTGAGATATAATTCACTTGCCATACAAGTCATCCATTTAAAGTATACAATTCATTGGCTTTTAGCATATTCACAGAGGGGAATTACAGAGGACAACCACCACCACAATTAATTTCACGATATTTTCATCATCCCCAAAAGAAACCAGTGTGCATTAGCCATCACTTCTCATTTCCTCCCAATTCCCCAAGCCTTAGGCAGCCAGCAATCTACTTCATTTCTCTATGGATTTGCTTATTTTAGACATTTCATATAAATTGAATCATACAATATGTGGCCTTTTGTCTCTTGCTTCTTAGCATAATGTTTTTAAAAGGTCCATCTGTGTTATAGCATGTATTGTACTTCATTCTTTTTATTGCTGAATAGTATTCTCTTGTATGGACACACTACATTTTATTTATCCATTCATCAGTTGATGGATGTTTGGGTTGTTTTCTTATGGGTTATTATGAATACTGTTGCAGTGAACATGTATGTACCAGTTTTTGTGTAGACATATTTTTATTTCTCATGGGTATATACCTAGGAGTGGAATTGCTTTGTCATATGGTAACTCTGTGTTTAAACTCTTGAGAAACGGCAGACTATTTCTAAAGTGGCTTCACCACTTAATATTCCCACCAGCAATGTGTGTATGTCCACCTCCTGGCCAACACCTACTATTCTTTGTCTTTTTGATCCTAGCCATCTTAGTTCTTGTGAAGTGGGATCTCATTGTGGTTTTGATTTGCATTTCTCTGATGGCTGATTACTGTTGAGCGTCTTTTCATGTGCTTATTTGTCATTTGTATATCTTTTTTAGAGAAATGTCCATTCAGATCTTTTGCCCATTTTTAAATTGGGTTGTCTTTATTATTGAGTTGTAAGAGTTCTTTATATATTCTAATACAAGTCCCTTATCAGACATATGATTTGCATATATTTTCACGCATTCTGTGAAATATCTTTTCGCTTTCTTGATGATGTGTGTCCTTTGAAGCACAAAAGTTTTGTTTTTTTTTTTTAAAGATTTTATTTTTCCTTTTTTCTCCCCAAAGACCCCTGGTACAAAGTTGCGTATTTTTAGTTGTGAGTCCTTCTAGTTGTGGCATGTGGGATGACACCTCAGCATGGCTTGATGAGCAGTGCCGTGTCCATGCCCAGGATCCGAACTGGTAAAACCCTGGGCCACCAAAGTGGAGCACGCCAACTTAACCACTTGGCCACGGGGCCGGCCCCAAAAGTTTTAAGTTTTAATGATAACCATTTAATCTATTTTTTCCTTCTGTTACTTGTGCTTTTGGTGTTACATCTAAGAAACCACTGCCAAGTCTAAGGTCATGAAGATTTATGCCTGTGTTTTCTTCTAAGAGTTTTATAGTTTTAGCTTTTATATTAGGTCTTTGATCCATTTTGAATTACTTTTTGTGTTTCTTTTCATGTGGATATCTAGTTGTACCATAACCATTTGTCAAAAAGACTATTCTTGCCCCCACTGAATTATCTTGGCACCCTTGTTGTACATGGGTGCTACTTCTTAGGCAAGTTTTTATTTGATGGCTTTTTTTTCAAATTAAGATTGGTGTTATGTTTTGGTCACTAAATGGTTTATTTACAGGCAGCTGCATTTTACAGATTTTTACACTTTTACTATGTGTGCATGGAAGAATTGCCTTTAATAGGACAAAGCTTATTAGAGCATCTTAGGATGAAGAAGTATATACATCTATCCAGGTGGACCCCGGACACTGGATTAGGTATCTCCAAAACCCGTGCTGCTTACCCTTTGATATGCATTCAGATTCCCTAGAGATCTTTTTAAAATGCCGATTCTCATTTTCTGGGTTTGGAATGGAGGGTAAGATTCTGCATTTCCAACAGGCTCCAGGCGATGCTGATGATGCTGGTCCTGGAACTTGCTCTTTGAGCAACAGCGCAAGAGGGACATTCTAGTGTGATCTTGTGCAATGTTGTTATATTTACTTATTTAAAGTGATTTGAAAGGGAAATAAAAATTGCTTGTTTTGAATTCACTGTTTTTGTATTTTATTTAATAATCTTCAAGATGAAAAGCTACCATGCAGAGAAATAGAGTAAAACTTTCTTTCAGTGGCACTTTCATTAATCTTGACTATTTTCTATCTTCCTTTTAGGCCTCTGATGATTGTCACTCAGAAGATCATAGCCTTGGCATTCCAAGTTCACGATGGTGAGAAAAAGCACCCTCCTTTCAGTTCTAAAAGTGACCCTGACATTCAGAGGTCTTCCTTTATCCTATATCCACACTCCAAAGTTTAGACAAGTGCTGGCAGATCCTGCTATCTCCGGCCTCTTTAATCACAACCTTTTACCCTCCCAGCTATTATTTACCATTTCCTTGCTGAATCCCTCGTCTAAATTTGCAGAATTATTTGCTTTGAGAACAGTGGGTTTTTCTATTAACCTTTACAATGTTTTAAATTTAAGTTAATTTATGATACTCTCTGCCCTTCATTTCCAAATCTGTTAAGAAGACATGGCATCCTTTTTCTTTGGTTTAATCTCTGAGAAGCTCACGAAGTAATATAAAGAGTAAAAACAGCATTGGCTGGTTAACAGTTTTTTAATGCTAGTTTTTTTCTTTTGCTTGGAAAATCATCTAAGGAGATTAGCCTGACTATAAAAAGCTGGGAGAAGGAAGAATCTTCTGTTTGTATAAAACTGAACGTTTTCTTCTCTCAGGCCCTTCCTGAAAATGGCCAGAACGTGTGATTTCCACTGTTAAAGCTGGGTTCCAGGAAAGGAGGATGGTACTTTCAGCCAGGCGGAAGATGGCAATATGGGTTTAAGAGGCGCCAGGTGCCATTAGTAAAAGTATCTTCTGCAGATTTTTACTGTTCTGGCAAACGCTTTCTGACTGTTGAAACTTCTTTAGGTGTTGACAGGTTGAGCAGATTGATAATCTCGGCTAGCTACCTTGTTTTTCCCTAAAGCTTGAGAACTGCTTGAATTTCATTTTGACCCTGTGTATTCCTAGTTCATACTTGGTGATTTGGTCATTCTGTAGAGAACTGGGTAACACCAAGGATGGAGTCTTTCCGGGGTGGCCAAGAATCCTGGTTGGCCCAGAACTGAGAGGTTGCCCCAAACCTGAGACTTCCAGTGCCCAAATTGCTAAAGTCCCCGACAAACTAGGGTGAGTCGGTCACCCTCTTTGTACCTGAAAATCCTCTTGGTAGTGGTTTTAAACCAATAGCTAAAATCAGCGTAATTTCTGGGATTGCCAGAGATGTCCTATTTGATCTCAGAAAAAAGTGAGTGTAATTTTTAACACAGCTTCTTGGTTTTGTTTTGTTTTTTTATACATAGGCTTTTTGCCTAAATTTACTTTTTAAAGGATTCTCAGTTTACCCTGTTTTCTGGAACATCCCTTATGCGGCAAAATGTTTATTTGCTTTTTCCCTTTTTTCTTGTGTGTGGCAAGAACAAGTAAATTCGAGAAACACTCCGCCTTCTCTTAGGCATGTTTTTGAGTAGCCTTTGTGATTGGCAAAAATAATAAGTCTTAGCTGAATATACCGTTTTAAAGTCGACTTCTGTTGCTTATAAGATGACACTTAAATTTCTTTGACTATAAGTTAACATATAAATTTTGTAGGAAGCACAGATGTGATTCGGTTGGGAGTTTTTCTGGCATAGATGCGTTTTAAAAGAAGAAAAATCTCCTGATTAATTTTTTTGTGTTTTTGCTGCATTCAGGGTTACATTTCCTGTTTTTTGGAAGAGGGAAGTCTCCTATTCTTTTCCCCATTACATTCCACACCCATGTTTTCAGCTTGTACCAGGTGTCTGCACCCAGCATAATCAGACCGGTATTTAAGGTGCTGCAGGCTGCAAAGGCAGGCTTCTCTCTCTCATGTAGCAACAGAAACAGATGCAGCGTGGTCAGGAGTGTAGGCGACGTGGAGGGTTCTCTGGGATCCGTGTCATACTGTGCAAATTAAATAGGAGCAACCCCTGAATTCTGCCCTTTTCATAAGAACCTATAGAGACTTTTTATAAATCACTTTTTTCAAATGAGTTTTATAAGCCTCTTCTAGGATTAGTTATCTCCTTCACTTCAAACGCCTTATTTCTAAATTTTCTCCTTTTCGTAGGATTAGGTCGAAGAGCTGAAGACCTCTCTGTGGAGCAACATCGACTTGCTGTAAAGTAAGTGAAGGTTAACAATACATTCTCGAGCCCTTTGTGTATCAGTATCTAGACCTCCTCCTGATTTTGTTATATCTACATCTTCACTCCATTATATGGATGTAATATTGTTTATTTAACGAATCTGCTATTGCTGGACACTTGGGTTGTCTACCACTCTTTGGCTTTTAGAAATGGTAAGCGATGAATAACCTTGTCCATAGGTCATTTTAAGTGGGGTTGGGTATAGCTGTAGGATAGAGTCCTAGAAGTGGGATTGCTAGGCCAAAGAGTAAATGGATCTGTAATTTGTTAGTTTTGCAGGATGATTCTTCTCTGGAGGTGTGTCTATTCCAGAATTATTTTTATTGGGCATATATCTGGGGGTCCTCAAGAAACAGTTAATTATCAATGCATATCAGTGGGATTAAACACTGGCGTGAAAAAAGATAAGAAGAAGGGCTGGAGAGATAAATATGGGCTGGGAATAGCAGGAAGACGGAAGACCGAAGGCGGACTTCGACCAGTATTGGTGTGCAGCTGAAAGGCGGGTGGGTGATGGAGAGGAAGGGAGGCTATGTAAAATAGGGGAATAACATTGATATATGGGACTGGAAATGGCATGTGGAGTAGCACATCGGGGAGGGTTTGCCAGCCATGGTGGAGGGTTCCTACTGGAGGGGTTTAGGAGATAAATGGCGTAAGGAGGGTTGGGTGGTAAAGAGATTGAGTGCTTCGTTCCTTCATTAAGGAATTAGGACTTGGAAGCAATGGAAAAGCATTGGAAGAGTCTAATGAATCAAGTTCTTTGCTAAGCATTATGGGGGTGTAAAGGCCATAGGGCGTAATTCCAGTGACTGCTTAACAACGGCATTTTAGGAAGCCGTTCCCCACAGTGCTATCCTGCTAGAGGAGCACGCCTCCTAAAATGCCATTAAAACGTTACACAGAACTAGTCTCTACAGGATTTTTTTCCTGCTACCTCTCTTGTCTGTTCAGGACCTCGTGCCTGGATGCCAAAGCCAACTAGACTTAGAGCGGTAGTTTTGTGTGGCCTCTTCAAGTGGAAACTGGTTCCACCCATCATTTGTTTTGTGTTTATTTTGGCAGTTGGAAGGGAGTTTTCCCATTTCAAAGCATCAGCTAACATGAGGTCAGGTTCCCACCCTGCCTTATGTTTATTACCTTCGTTTTCTCTTGTAGACAGATGAGGTTTATGAGAAAGAGCTTTTGCCAGCTTCAGAGTTGCCTTTGCCCTCCACCCCGCTCTCGGTGCTTGTATCGGTGATTGGCCAGCAGAGGGCGCCACGGAGTGCTGCGCCTTCTCAAAGCCACTCGCCCACCTTGTTATCTTTCCCAGAAGATCTCTCTCTTAGGCGTATTTTTAAAGAAACAGGGCAAGGAAAGATCACATCACGTTTAATAATCTACAAAGACAACACCTGTGTTTACAATTTGCTTATTTGCAAATATGAAAGAAAAATCAAAGGCTTGTCAATTTTTTACTTTTTATTTTCACAGAGTAAAACCCTCTTTTTTGGAATACTTAAGCTACCTTCTCAACTTCATGAGTGTCATAGCTGGCCCTTGTAACAATTTCAAGGACTATGTAGACTTCATTGAGGGGAGACATATACACATGAAGTTGCTGGAAGTGAACTGGAAGCAAAAAGGTTTCCACAGCCTGCCAGAGCCTTCTCCCATGGTAAGTTTCTAGTGCCAAGTATTTACCCAGAGGTCCAGAAAACGAGTTTTTCTGCCAGAGCTGACTCTCACTAATAATTGTTCTAATTTAAAAGCCAAACAGTTTACCAGAAAGCTTGGCCAATGGCTTTTTTCCCCATTTGTTTAAAATACCAGTATTGGTATTTATTTGCAGCAGCTCTCTGTGTTGGAGCAAGAGATGTTTATTTCACAGAGCTCATTGGCTGGGAATATTACAGAAATTGATCCCTTAGTCAGCCAGCCAATCTTCAGTGCCTACAATGTACTCAGCACTGTGCTAGTTAACACATTCAAATTTATGAGTGTTTTGTCTTTATGAAGAGAAATTAATATACAGCCAAAGGATAGTATGTCATCAGAGGTGGACGAGAATCAATGAGCTTTTTATGGTAGAGCCTGCTGATTGCAAGGGAAAACAGTTTTATGCTGGCATGCCCAAAGCTTGGTTTTATTGACTTTGAGAGAGTTTAAGATGGTTTTTTGAAATCATATTTTAATTTTAATCTGAATTTTATTAATCTCAAATTAGATAAAATTAGGATAATTTATTCAGCTTTAAAGATATGCTAAATTTACTCAGATCAAATATCCTGTATTTAAGGGAAATTTGTAGTTAATTGAAGGAACGGGGAAAATTGGAAAAGGGAGAAAATGAGGATAATTTAAATATTTCAGAAATGCTGGTTAAAGTCCAGACCAAATTAATTATTTGAAAATTTAAGTGATTTGTTAATTAAGCATGAATTTTCAGATAGTTCTGACACAGTCGTGTCCTCAACACTTTGTGGTTAGTCAACTGTCTCAGCTCCAGCTGCTTTATTGAAACGATCTGGGAGTGAAGTCGCCATGGTTAGAGACATCAAAGTAACCACAGGTGTTTGTAGTCAGTGTGTGTCACAGTGGTGCTTTTGTGTTTCACGTTCTTTTATTTAGAAAATAATTTTATCACAGAGTCTTAACCTCAGTCTCCAAGAAGACTCTAGTGCACAGAGAAAATGAAGTGGTGAGGCCGCGTTTTGGCTAAAGACACATTAATGGGAGGGGACTGGCAGCCACGACCTGGTGTGTCCCCAGTGGTGGTGTCATAATTGTGGCCAAGAGTGGTGAGCACTTAACTGGGAGCGAGACACTGTTCTCAGTACCTTGTAAATATTCATTCACTTAAACCCCTAGCTACTATGTGAGGGAGGTGCTGTTGTTATCCCCATATTACAAATAAATGGAGCCTGTTTTTATAAAGCTGGGGACTGTAATTCTGTTGATGTTACGTGACATTCCCTAGAATGGCAGGGAAACTGGGCAAGATTGCTCCTTCCAGAGGTATTTAAAATGTCAGAGCAGACTACGTGTAAGTTACTCTGGAAGGCGTTCGAAAGCTTTCCATTACCTACCGGCATCCTGGTTCAGGCATTTAATCACTTTGATCCTTCCTAACTAAGCCTCTGTCCTCGCCGGTGATTCAAACCCATTTCCTTGGCTCTGCTGGCTACAGAAGTGGAAGGCAGTGGTTCTTTCTTTCCGAAGGAAGATTGCCGCTCTGTAATGTCATCTATTTCTCTTGTGTTTTGGATAATAAAACCACCTACCCTTTGTAGGTAGAATTTCCTGGTACGAGTTTTCTTCCATTTTAGATACATTCAGTCCTCAAGTGTCAGAGGTCTATTCTGCATCTAAATATAGTATATCTGCTGATCATCCAATTCGTGTCGCGAGGAACTATGCCTGCTGCCCCTCCTTCTGGGGAATGTTGTCAAAACAGCTATTGCAATAGCTTTGTTCTCAATGTGCCCCTGCCAAAATGGTTTTCCTCAGCCCAGAATCTTCTGAACGGTTACGCTGATCTTTTCCTCGTTTTCAGGGAGCTGTCATACACAAGTTGTGCATGACCTTGGTGTCTCTCCTTTTGTTTTTGACACTCACGACGACCTTCCCTGTCACCTGCCTGGTCGACGACTGGTTTGTTCACAAAGCAAACTTTCTGACTCGACTCTGCTATCTATATGTTGTCATGCAGGCCTCAAAGCCCAAGTATTACTTTGCCTGGACATTAGGTAAGTTTGATGGAGTGGCCCTAAAGGAAGGAGGAAAAAAATGGTACTCCCTTTGATGGCTTACCCAGAACAACATTTTGGATCACCTAATCTAAAAAAGTCTAATACATACTGGAAGACAGTTGAGCCAGTATCCTTTTTCCCTTCCCAGCATAGCATTCTTCTCTCCTGCCATCCATAAACCCAGTCACCTGTAATAAAGAGAAAAGTAATCCTGGCTGTTGTTTAAACCCAATGTTATTAACAGATGTCAAAACTTGGAAGCTTCTGTTTCCACCATTCAAACTTGGCCATTTAGTGCAGTGGAAAGTTAGGGAAAAATTCCAGGCCAGCCCAGTGGCGCAGTGGTTAAGTTTGCATGTTCCACTTCGGGCGGCCCGGGGTTTACCGGTTCGGATCCCGGGTGCAGACATGGCACCACTTGGCAAGCCATGCTGTGACAGGTGTCCCACATATAAAGTAGAGGAAGATGGGCATGGATGTTAGCTCAGGGCCAGTCTTCCTCAGCAAAAAGAGGAGGATTGGCAGCAGATGTTAGCTCAGGGCTAATCTTCCTCAAAAAAAAAAAAACAAGAAAAAAAGTAAGTTAGGGAAAAATTCCAGAATGATCTGGCTTTCTTGTCATTTTTCTGGATTGTACATCATAGAGGATACAGACTGAATTAATTTTATCAACACACATGCTAATGTAGGTTACATTTTTTTGTTAAGAAATTGTTCGTTAAGCTTTATGCCTTAGAAAGAAGCTGACTTCAAGTGATTTTCCTTCTTTTTTAGGGTTGAAAGTTCAACTTCATTTGGTTTTATCACACTTTTTTTTTTTTCCTGGGAGGTAATTTAGTCAATATTAAGCTTTTATCTCTTTCCTTTCAAACAATTTTAGACTGGAAAAGTTTAAAGCTTTACTAAAATGAGCAATAAACCCTTTATTTACTTCCCAGGAGTGGTAAAGGGTTTGGACCGTTTCACATTGGGAACCCTTTCAAGAACGGAAGTTTAACATCTCAGCTGGAAGGAACGTGGGGCTTGATGTCAGCGAGCAGGGACTCAGCTTATTGAGTCAAATAGATGATGAAACTCAGTTCCTCGTGCTTAGCCCATATTCTGTGAGTGAGGCTGTAGCATTTAATTGAGTTCCTCTTCTCTCATTTCATGCTTCAGGCTTTTAGCCTCAAATTGAAGTTTACAGCTATTAAATTATTTTTCTCATTTATTATATTTTTTATTGTGGTAAAATATATGTAACATAAAATTTACCGTTTTAACCATCTCTAGTGTACAATTTAGTGGCATTAAGTTCTTTCACACTGTTGTGCAACCATCACTACTATCTATCTCCAGAACTTTATCCATCACTCCAAACAGAAACCCTATTCATTAAACAAAGTAATAAGTCCTCATTCCTCCCTCCCCTCAGCTCCTGGTCCAGTTATTTTTAAAGGTCAAAATGTTCAGGGATAAGTTCAGTCCAATGCAGCATTTATGTAATACTTGGCCAGTGATCTGACTTAGAGCTTTTTAAAATTGGCAGTGTGGGAAATTTGTTTCTGTGTAGTTTAATTCAAGGGGTTTTCGTTGAGTACCAGGTTCTGTGCTATGAGGAATTCAAAGGTAAGATATCTTCTCTACCCTCAAGATTGGTACACTCTGTGGGAACACAGACGTGCACCCGCACCAGGCAATATGCATTGAGAGCTGTCCCAGAGGTAGGAAGACAGAGGAGATCTCGATGCATATGGACTGGTCATTGGGGGAGGCTTCAGAAGTCTCTCTCATTCCTTTTTCTGCAGTTGTGTTATTATTGGAAAATGATAATTTCTTTAGTAGGTAGGTCTGATACCAACTACGGTTTGAACCTACTTGGAACACCAGGCTTATTTTTCTATGTGAAATGGTATTTTCACTGTGCTCTAACCTGTGTGTGTATGTGTTTTTAAGAGAGAATCTCTCACTCCCTTTACTACCTTCTACTTGCTCACTCATCCTCCTTTTCTCTTTCCCTCTCCCTACCCTTCCTGCTCCCATATTCTGTATCCCAGGGCTTGTGGGCTGGCTCCTGGACTAAATCAGTTCCCGATTTAAGGAGGAAAGAATGGCCATTCCGTGGCCTGATAGGGAAAGTCTAACACGAGGTGGGTTGTGCTGGTGGGGCTCTGGCTGGGGAGGGGGTGACAGGGAAGAGGGGGTGTCTGGCATCGTTCTGCCCTTTTACCCCAGATAATCTGGAGTATGGAAGGAACCCTTTCTGTGGATAGCTTTCTCTGTGGACTTAGCTCTTTTTCTTTTCTTTTTCCCCCCTTTATCTTTTTTGGTAGCTCCAGTAGAAACACTTCATTAATTTGTATGGCCTCAATTTGAAATTTGTTACCGCTTAGATTTCATGGGCTGGTGTGACATTAACCTTTGTATTATTTATGAATAAAGAAGCAGTTAATAGTATAACAGGGAACATTTAAACTGCTTAACCAAATAATTGTTTTATCCAGCTCCTTAAAACATCATTTACATATAATTGATGTACTAATTATACATGATTATAAATTTAATCCTTAAAGCCGGGCTCTTGATGAATCTCAGCTTAGCTGCACTGTGTTAGCCTAGTTCTAGTTACTGTTTATATTGAAATAATACAGCTATTTTCTTTGGACTTAGTGTATAATTCTAGTTGTTTTTCCCCTACTAATTAGTGAGACTCAATGTTAGCCCAGGCTGTGTTCTAAGGATCACAAACTCCAAAATATGGGTGTCCAAATTAATTTATCCGTAATAATACAATACGGTGTACAATACGAGTAAAGCCAGTTTTGGACTGGTGAACTTAGAACCTCTAACTGTTCTAAGACAAAAGCAAGTCTTGGATAAACTGTAGTGGAATGTACAAAGGAGAGCAGGGAATTCTGACATCGTCTAAATGCACCAGTTCTAAGTCACCGCTTCTGGTCCTGCATCATTTATCTTTCAGAGTGGCTCCTAGCTGCTCGGACTGTGGAATCAGAGTTCTACTATTCAGATTCTGGCATTGTTTACCACCTGAGTGATCTTAATGTTGACATCACTAAGCCTCAGTCCCCTTAACAGCAAGATGGGGGCAATAATAATAATAATAATAATTAATAATAGCAACTGCTACCATTTCTTGAGTGCTAACTTGGGCTAGGCACTGTGCTATGCACTCTATACACACTTAATTTCGTTTAATCCTTTCACCATCCCTTTAAAATAGGTCCCATTGTCACATCCATTTTATACTCAAGGGAATAGGTTTCTAGAAGTTAGATAACTTTCCCAAGGCCATGAATTTGCTCTGTTGCTGAGTGGAGATAGGAACCCAGGGGATCTGCCTCCAGAGCCCGCCCTTAACTACCCTCTTCATACTGTTGTGAGCATTAAATGAGAAGTGTCTGTAGAATGCTCTATAGAATCCTGGAAAGATAGTAAGCATGCATGCACACACACAGATAGTTATCATTATTCTGTTTTTCTAGATCTGACCCAGATGTGCCAGATCAGAGGCTAGAGATGGAAGTAGGAATTTAGGGACTGCTATGCTGGTCCCAGCAAGGGCAGCCCAACCTGGTTTTTAATTGTCAACACAGACATCAGGGCCCCTCTTCTCTCAGTCTAGTTTCTCTTCTGTCATTCACAAATTTCTTCCCACACATTTAAAACTATTAGTTTTTTAACTGACACACCCTCGCTTTGTTCTTATTTTTCTTTTCCACCAAGTTTCTATCCAGTCGGCTTGGGAGAAAGACATAGCAGGACTTAGTACTTTTCATCCTTTCTTCTCTAAAAGAAACCAGATCATTTTACAGTGAAGCCAAGCCTAAGATAAGCAATATTAAATCACCACCTCTGCCAAAAGTAAATGAGACAAACACAGAACACGTTGTTTTTCTTTAGAGGAGCCTTTCAGAAGTCCATGTTGAGTTGGACTTGAACTCCTATAGAAACAGAAGGAATAGAGCTACAGGAAAGAAAGATTTATCTAAGATTTCCTCCAGATCTAAGACTTGAGGGTGTTGTGATTTAATTAGTTCGGTTAATTACATTTTTAAGAAAATATTCTGACAGAATTAGCTCAAAATAACATAAATGAAAGGAGAAAATTGGCCTCTTGATCATCATCATCAAAATAAGTTGATTTCATCAGGTCTGTATTTGGTTACAGAAACGTTTCATTAAGGATTTGATTAGAAATGTAATACCACAGGGGGACATTTTCTTAGAGTTCAGTGATGTGAAATAAGGAGGGAGACAGGAGCTTTCAGACTGACTTTATGGGTAGAATGGGTTTGGTAATTGTGTCCAGGTGTGGCATCTGTGGCAGCTGGCCCTAAATTCACATCTCTAGCTCTGTTTTTTTCTTGTGTTCTTAACTTTCCTGACTGCATGTTGGCAGCCCCATCTGATGTCCTACTGACATGTCATGCTTAATATGTCCAGAGTGAGCTCCAATTTCTCTTTCAGAGCTGGTTCCCTCCTAACTTAATGCTGTCTAGCAGTTAATGTCCTGCCTTCTTTAATGACAGTTCTTGGACCGCTACTGAGACCCCTGTTTCTTCTGGTCTCTGCTTCTGAGCTTAGATGTATTTTTACCTTGTTCTCTTTCTCCCCTTCTATCAAATGGTCACTAAATCCTCCTTATTGCTTTCCTTTGGTTCTTCATTTCTCTTTTTTCTCATTTTGCATTCTATGAGCATCTAGTGCCTTTCTTCTTACTTAGCAGGTGCTCACTAAATGGTAGTGAATGAGTAAAGATGAATGAATAAAAATTGAGGCCACTCAAGAGCCAAAAATGTTTTCTCTGATTCATAACAGTAGCAGGTCCTTTAGATTTTTTTGGTTTCTTTACCAAGGAAGCTACTGTGTATCTCTTGATCTTAAAGCTAGACAGACATTTAGTATCTTTTAAGGCAACAATGTGACTTTTGTTCCATATCCTAATGTGTTGTTTTAAAAACCATAGCGGATGCAGTGAATAATGCAGCTGGCTTTGGGTTCAGCGGAGTGGATAAGAATGGAAATTTCTCTTGGGATCTACTTTCTAACCTAAACATCTGGAAAATTGAGGTGAGTCTACCATGCTTTTGCATCAAGCTTCCATAGTGAGTAAAGCAAGTGGTTTGCTTGGAGCGTGGGATCCATGGACGTTTGTCATCAGTGTCCAAAGAAAAGCTACTATCAGGGAATGCCATGTCTAGCAGCCTCCTGGACATTTTGCGTCTTGGAATTTTTTTCCTCCTTGTTTTTTTAAAGATACCTACTTTCTTGATAGTTTTAATGGTTCAAGGAATAATGACACACACAAGTCTGAAAAAGAGCCAGGAAAATCTTTTTGCTGTTTATATTCCTGTTCTTTCAACTAGAAAGTACAGATGTCATTTTCTCTTGTTCACGTTCTACTTTGTTTGGTCGAGAACGCAGACTGGAAGCCCCTGTATTTAGATTTTAATATTGCAGGTGTTCTCTGTGGTTTCTTTGGACGCATTTATAATCCATTTCCTTTTAGGGAGAATTGTCAAGGCACCCAGCTTTTAGGCCACTAGAATCGGTGTGTTTTTTCTGTGTCTTCTTTCTTCCACAATTATCGACCACAATCCTTGATGTGTCTTCCTCATCAGAGGTGGTTTCTTTGGAGCCACATCACTCTTGGTTTCCTTGGCACTGTCAGCACTTGGAGCTGATAGGAATGCCAGGTCTTAGACCCTTTTCTCCTTGTAGCTGGATGGGAGTAAGGACATGATTCTCAACATACAGAAGTCTTGGTTCTCTAACCAGGTGACTCCAGTTTGCTACAGGTTTCGGTTTTCCACCCATCCCAGGGCAGGCAGAGTGCCATTGGAGAGTTTGGGCAGAGGGGGATGTATCTGTAAAGCAGGAAACAGGGATGTGGAGACTGACCACCTGCCACCCACATTAGGTGGACACTAGGCCACAGGGGACATGGGGGGCGCCCTTCTCCTTCTTGATGCCTGAGGCTTCTCTTTATCTTAAGTAGACAAGCTCCAGCCTTCAGAACAACCTTTCTAAGTTTGGGAAAGGCAGTGTAGATAATCTGCAAGCTTCTCTTTCCTACATGGATGATGTCAGTGAGAGTCCAAGTGTATTATGACTTTCCTGCCTTTTCCCACTAAAATTCTTCTCTCTCTCAAAACTCTTGGACCACTGCTGGCTGCCTTGGAGCGCAGTGGGTAATTGTCCTTCAGAGTGGCTCTCCTTGATCCTTGGCTGCCCACAGTCCACTGAGCTATATACACCAAAAGACTGACTTCTTTCACTGTGGGCATGTGTTCAGGGTAAAGGACTAAGTTATTAAATGTTTATTATAAAAGAAAAGGAGAAGGAGAAAGTTTATATTTTCTTCTTCTTTTTTTTTTTTTTTTCGCTTGAGGAAGATTCGTTCTGAACTAACATCTGTGCCAGTATTCCTCTCTTTTATATGTGGGTCGCCGCTGCCACAGCATGGCTGACAAGTGGTGTAGGTCCTTGCCTGGGATCTGAACCCACAAACCTGGGCCGCTGAAGCAGAGCTTGCCAAACTTAACCACTATGCCATGGGGCCAGAAAGTTTGTATTTTCAGTGGAGTTGATATACAGCAAAGAACTAAAGAACTCCAAGGAAGTTTGATTTAGTTAAGGTACCTTGAGCTGTGCATATAGCATTTTATTAGTCAGAGAAGACAAGGATAATTAAAACTCCTTAGGGTTTTGAAATAAAAACTCATAATGCAAAATCTGTCTGGGGGCCAGGTTGGTGACATAGTAGTTAAGTTCATGCACTCTGCTTTGGCAGCCTGGGGTTTGCCAGTTCGGATCCCTGGGGTGGACCTATGCACCATATCACCATGCTGTGGTGGCATCCCACATACAAAACAGAGGAAGATTGGCACAGCTGTTAGCTCAGGGCCAATCTTCCTCACACACACACACAAAAAGAAAACAAAAAGAAAAAGAAAAATCTGTCTGTCTACCTACCCACCTACCTACCTACCTGTCTTCTCTCTCCTTTCCTCCCTCTCTGCCTTCCTTTTAAACATACTGCATTAGGCCAGTGTACAGCTTCCTAAGATTTTCTTATGGTTGAAACAGAAAAAAGTGGCACTTGTACTTCCCACCTTTGTTAGGAATTCTGGTTCTTGAGTGTTGGCTTCATGCTATGTGCCACCAGCCTTTGAAAAGACTTTTTTTTGAGTGAGAAAACCCGATTGATGGCTTCTTTTGGAATCTCTCCTCCTCAGTGGTTAATTTACCTGCGTCTTTGCCAGTTGGGTGATATTTCTTTGTTTCCTTTTCTGCACGGTGACTCCTTCATGCATAAAATGTCTTACTATTCTAGATACAATAGGAAGCATTTGAACCCGTGCAGCCGTTTGTAGAATAACCCCACAAGACTGACCTAGTTTATAGATGGCCGCCTAGTGAAAAGATGACAGTTACATTCAAGCTGTCTCCAAAAGGGCACGAAATTCACAGGATTAAACTTTTCCTGTGGCAAATCCCCTTTTAGATTATTTGGTCTTCAAATTCAGATGACTCAAATTTTTTTTTTAACCACAGTGGAAGGAAAACCCACAAAACAGTCCTTCAGTTTTCCTATAATTAGAAAATAAATTTTGAGAAAAATGGAGACTTTGCAAGTTAAGCTTTAGTGCAAAGTTAATCTTGTAAACACCAGAAAATTCTACTGCATACAATGGAACAGCTGATCTACTCTTGACGGAGTCGTCTCTATTGAAATAGCACATCTACTCTGCTGCCAGGGAAGTTCTGGAGAAGACTTTCCATTACTTGGGGTATTTTTAAAGCTAACGATAGGTGTTATTTTCCTCTTTCTAGACTGCCACAAGCTTCAAAATGTACTTAGAAAACTGGAATATTCAGACAGCTACTTGGCTAAAGCGGTAAGAAAAACAAAAACGACCTCATTACTCATGGCACTCGGATATGTTTAGATGGAAGCCGTCAGATGAACAGCAATCCTCTGCCCGTAGTAATGTCATCTGATGCTTTGTTTTGTATTAACATTTATGCCCTGTAAATGAAAAAGTAGAAATATAGTGATTTGAGAAGGTCACGATGTAGCATGTTTATTTTAATATATCAGACACTGGATGCTGCCATTCCTGTGTACCAGGCACCCATTTAATCCTCAGAGCAATCCCATGAGATGGTGGTAGTTATTACCCCTGTTTTACAGATGAGGAAAGTGAGACTCAGAGAAGTTATGTCACTTGCCCAAAGTCACACAGCCAATGAATAATAGATAAGAGCCCAAACAGACTGTCTCCAGAGCCAGGCTCTTAACCTCTGTACTGCGCTGCCTCTTACCTAGCAGAAAGTCTGTCAGCATCAAATGACTGACAATCTCTATGCTCATCTCCAGCACTAAAGGCTTTATGATACCCCAGATGTTTATGCTTTTTAACTGTATTTTTGTTGATATTTCTCTGTCCTTTTGTTTCTCTACACAGTCCAAAATTAGAAACGTTGCTTATTATGGACTAATAATATGCTGTCCTTGAAGCAGCAGACTCTAGTGAATATTCCTATCATATGAGTGCAGGGAGAACATAAGAATATTAAGCTGTAGATTCTACTGTTTTTGATAAATAGCATTTTTCATAGGTCAAAACATTGGGGTAAAAGAAGAGACAAGTACAGTAATCTCTCCAAAGTAAGCTTGTGCAGTGTTGTCTGAAAATTGATCAAACATGCAGTTTTTGAAATTTTGCCCTTAATGTTGTTGCTATTAATTTTGCAAATAATTTTAGCGTAAACCTCTATTTCTGTATATTGAGTAATCTCAATGTACCAGGAGTCCTACTGTCTCCATTAGGAGTTTATATTCTGTGGTGACTGAACATACAGGATTGCACATAAAAAATGAAAAAAAGTATTTATTTAAAAAAATCATTTTAGAAAATGAAATATTTCATTCCTACAAAAAGATACAGAGGGGAAGAAAAAAATACCTATGCAAGCTACCCCCATTTCAAAAAGAAACATTGCAAATGCGGTCCCAGTCCTTTTTTTCTCTCCCCAAGTACATTCTGTTTCTTCCTTTGAAGAGGGAGCCATAATCCTTAGTTTGGGTTTAAATCAGTTACTTTGACAACCCATATGGTGCTGGATTGGTGTTAACTGTTTGAATTTCGAATTTATTCTTTAGCGGGGTCGTCTTATTTACTAAACCACGTAGTGGCTTCCTTACAGTGCCATTGGCAATTCATAGGCTGAATTTGGGAGAAAGCCCCCTATCGCTTTGTCTTAATAATCAACCAAGAAGCCAAAGATCTCCAGGGTATTTGTTGACAGTTTCTAAATCCTCACAATATCCTCACTCTTTAAGGCAAATGCATGGATTGAAATCTGATGGACACTGTGAGAACTGGAGAGGTCATATAACCAACACATAGATTTTGTGCTGGAGTCATTGCCAAGAGAGATGAAAAGTGTTGCAGCATTGATTAGTTAGATGGCATAGGGGCCAGGCTGGAAAGGTAAATTAATTTTGACTAAATGAAGATATCCATTTCTAAAGACCCTTATCCTGATTCCAAAACTTTTAGTGCCAAGGGCACTTATCCATAAGTATCCCTGGTAGATTAGGCCATTAGTGGAATAAGCTTCCACAAGGCAGGAGCTCGTGCTGGGTATAGAGTGACCACTCAGACTTTTATTAGGTATAGTATGATGGGGTCCAGATCATTTAGTTCTATGGAGGTTAAAAACTCATATTCATCTCCCCAAAGGATTGCCTATCTGGTAGTTTTCAAGAAAACTAGAGCTCAGGCTGCTTGGATTGCACTGCAAGTCCCTGAATGGGGTTAGGCAGGCATGCCATCAGTAATGGATCAAATGATTTCTGCATGGTCTGATCCAAAAAGATGCAGTGTAGCTAGACGTTTCTGGTATGTTTGACCTGTGGCTTGTTGCCCCTTCCTCTCTTCACAGAGTGTGCTATGAGCGGGTTCCATGGTACCCCACCATGCTAACCTTCATCCTGTCTGCCTTGTGGCACGGGGTCTACCCTGGATACTATTTTACCTTCTTAACTGGAACCCTTGTCACAATAGCAGCCAGAACGGTAAGCTTCCTTTGGTTGTAGGGTCTTTTCCTTAATAATCTGATGCCTTTGTGTTTGTTGTCTTTTAGTTCCCATCAGGAGTTGGGAAGGTGGGGGCGGGAGTGGTATTTTGAAAAATCAAACAAAAGTCTTCCCACTAGAGAAATACTTCAATATATGGGAACTTTGGGTCATAAAATGATTAGCCATTTTATTTTCTTAGTATTTACGGAGAGTGTTTGCAAAACAAAAGGAATTTTAGCACTAATGTTTAAGACCTTAAGAGATGAAGACATTTTTAGTCATTAGAGACGGTAAACAGTCTACTAATTACAGATGATGATGATTATTAATTAACGTAGGCTCCGTAGGACTTCATTTTGCTTATACTCCACTTACTTTCCCTTGTCATTATCCTAAGCCTAGAAATAATTCACAAAGTCTCTGAGCAGCCAGTAAAATTGCAGCCACAGGAACTGTGTTCTGTTAGAGATTGCTCTAACCTTTCATGCACGGTCTCAGGCCTGATCCAATTAATTTGTGTAAAATTCTTTGTGACTTTTATAAATTTGGTTCTCTAGGTTTTTGGGTAGCCTTCAGTTTGTCCTAGACTGTTTCTACTATGTGCTGGTTATAGAGCAGGATAATAGAGGAATAATAAAATATGCCTGTCCTCAAAGAATGAGATGGACACATATGTAGGTAATTGCAATTCAAAGAGCTCTGTCAAACAGAATTTTGTATTTGATTTAATTGCAATCTTTGATAAGGATTGTGGCCTTCCTTATTCAGGTACCAAGAATTTTTAATGACATATGTCAAACTGTATTTTGGATGTGAACTTAGGAGCTCCAGCCTATGTGTTGACCCATTCCTTAATTCATCTATTCTGTGAATATTTTATAAGTCCTACTATGTGCCAGTCAGTGTTCTTGGTTCTGGGCTACCGCAGTGAACAAGACAAGGGTCCCTCCCCACGGAATTCCTATTTTGGTTAGATGAGTGTTTGTTGGAATATGTGTGTGAACAAGATGGATAATTGATTACTATTCATGCTGATTAGCACACTTTTAAAATATGGTATATATTGTACATATACATGTACATATGGTATATATTGTACATATTTGTGCATAGAAAACAGGGAAGACATTTTTCTTTTCTCCCATTCGTATACCTACTTGGATTATAAAAGAAAACTAAAGCACAGATGGCCAGGAAAAACTAAAACAAAGGCTAGAATTTTGTTTGTTAATATATTCAGAGTATTATTCCGTAAAATGTCTTTAGTCTGGTGATCTCAGCTGGTATAAAAACATTGATTTATGTAAAACCTTTCTTTTGGGTGGCCTGGAGACATTTTCTGTAGATGAGTCAGGTAGGGCGTGGAGAGGAGAGAGTTGAAAGGAACAGTATTCCCATTTTTTTCTGAAAGGAGAATGAACTTAAAGAGTCATGAATTGTCTTAGGCCCAGGGAGTCACCTAATAAATTCTCAATCGTGCTTCCAGATACTGCTCAGGCTCCCCCCAGTGGATGGACTTCTGGCCTCTGTCTTAAGGAACTCAGGGCCAAGGAGAGGAATCCTAGGCTAACCAGGCAGCCATGGTACCAGGCATGAGCCTTTCCTGCTTTGGGGCTCACCTACCTATAAGCCAGCCATTGTTCCAGCTCTGCCTTTGGTACTTGGATCTGGAAATTAGGTCTTTTTTGGAGGCAAATCTAGTTACATGTGTCAAAAGACTGATAAATAAGTGTATCCTTTGACCCAGCACATTCTATTTCAAAGAGCTGCCTCAGTTTCCTTTTCTGTAAAATGGGAATAATGATGCTTACATGATAGGCTTGTTGGGAGAATTAACAGAGATATATATAGAACATTAGCACAGACTTGGCACACAGTAAGCACTCAGTAAAGGGTAGCTGCTCTTATTATTATCAATAGTAATATTATTTTATTATTATTATTCAAAGGTAATAATTAGGAAACAATGCAGAGTTTTAGCTACAAGGTTTACGTATCACAGAATTGTTTACAATAGTGGAGGATGGGAGTCAAGCTAACTTTTCCAAATTAACTTAAAATTATATTGGAGATTAATATTTACCAACATGGAAAAAAATTCATGATTTAGGACTTATTCATAAATGAAAAAACAGGCTAAAAATATATTGATGCCATTGGAAATATAAATATGGATATATATGAATAGAAAAAGTCTTGGAAGGATATGTGCCAAGTTTATAAACAGTGCTTTTCTCTGGGAGATGTTAAAGAAAAAATTTTTTTGCTTAGTTGTTCTTTGAACAGTTTTCTACAGTGGACTTGTACTGTTTTTTCTTATAATAAGAAAACCCATAATGGTATTTTAGTTGAAAATAGGCTATTGAAATTCCAACCGTCTGAGTTCCGTGTTCTTGAGGTATACCACCTGCATGCATGGAGTAAAAGTCATTATTTTTCACCCTCCCCACCTTTGCCTTCTTTGGCTTGCAGATGAGGAACAACTACAGACATTACTTCCTTTCTTCAAAAGCCCTGAAGCTTGTTTATGATGTGGTCACCTGGGCTGTCACTCAGCTGGCTGTCTCTTACACGGTCGCGCCCTTTGTTATGTTGGCTGTTGAACCAACCATCAGTTTATACAAGTAAGTTTCCGTTGTTCTCCATGGCTGTTTAGTAAACTTGTCTGTTTTCTCTGTTTAATTTAGGAGTTGGTAAATTCAGTCAACTAGTACTAAGCATTTCTAAATATGGCTTCACTGTGAAAATGTCCATAGAAAGCTTTAGGAAGAAATGGCCATCCCAGAGATACCAAGGTACAAATAGCGATATAGATGAGCAAAGGTGACGGGAGGCCCTTCAGCCATTCCTGAGATAATTAAGGAATGCTTATGGGAGTGAGTTTGTAGAAGATGTACCTGGATTACAAACCCAGAGGGTGAATTTTGCTGCCCTTGCCTCTCTTTCCTGGGGCTGTGTCATGTTGGAGAGCATGGGGCATTCTGAGAGCAGGACAGAAATGGGCGGGAGCTGGATGGGCTGACTTGAGTGGTCTCCAGGAGAGCTCTGTGCTCTCCTGAAATGGCAATGCTGGTGGGTGCATGTGGGGATTTCTGCTATGAGTTGCACATAGTAGAGGGGAGTACGCAGCATTTAGGGTGGAGGAGATGGCAAGAGGCCTTTCGAGAAAGGATGTCAGCCCCTTTTATTCAAACACCAGTGCTCCAGCTGAACTGCAAACCTATTCTTGCTTGCTTTTACTGTTTCACTCTTATGTCAAATAAGTCTTATTTCTCCGCTATTGCAAACTGGCTGCGTGACCTCTGGCAAGTTATTAACCTCTTTTACCTGTGTTTTCTCAACTGTAAAATGAGGGTAAGGATAAAATCCACCTCAAAGCACCTCTGTTAGGATTAAATGAGGCAAATGTGCAAAGGGCTCAGCTGGTGCCTGGTGTAGTGTCTATACTCAGTAAATGCCAACTTGTATTATTTAGTGGTTTGCACAGGCTTTTGTAGATTAATTTTGGAAATAGCTATCATCAAAAAAGTGACTTACAAATAAACAGTGCAAACACCCCTTATTTGTAAGTTGAGGATTCCCTATAGTTGATACACCGGTCAGGAATGATCAAAGAAACTTTGAATATTCAATGTAGATGCCAGTGTTTCGCAGGTCATAGGAAAAGAAGGTCAACACTCATCAGTAAAGTCTATTTCTATAATACCAGTTAGATCATAGGAGTTATGTCAGGATAACATGGGAGTTGAGCTGGTTTATTAATATATAAATTTTCCTAGACCAGGCATGCCAGTATAGAGGGAAGAGAATTATAATGTTCAGCAAAAAAAGCCCTCAGTTCAGCTGCTACAGAAATAGAAGCACTTCGGCTCTATATAAGAACATGGAACCTGAGCACCCCTTCGCTGGGCTCCCTCTTCTGAGAGGCACCCTCCCCCCAAAAAAACCCGCACCTCTGGCTGTCAGCTGGGTTTACCTCCCCCATGCCCAGCCTTAGGGCAGCCCCACTTGCTCACAGCTCCGTTTCCCTTCCCCTTGTCTCAGTGCCCTCCAGCCAGCATTTGCCCTTCATTGTCTGCCACCCGCTAAAGCAGCTGTTACCCGCATGAGCTGTCTGCCTGGGCTGACCAAGTTGTTGGCTTAGGTGCTAATTGTTTTTTGTTAGTGCTGTAGTTGCAAAGTCTCATAGGTTTTGAGTTGTCTGCTTCTGACATGATCCCTACCCTCCCATAAGCCTTTGTATTTTAAGCACGTGATATTGCCAAATGAGAGATTTTTCAGGAAGATATGCATCATATTATAGCAGAAATGCCTGTATTCACCTGAGTACCATTTAATACCTGCAGTGTGCTGGGCGCTGTTCTAGAAGCTGGGGATAGAGTGGAGCAAAATATAGAAATCATTCTTGCTCCCATGGAAAGCACAGTCTTCATGGAAGAGACAGGCAATAATTGGCAAATTTATAAACACACACTGAAATCGTACTCTGAGTCAATGGTCCAAAGATTTAAGGGAGCATGTAACAGGGATCAGACTCAGACTGGGCATCGAGGGTGGCTTTTGGGAGGTAGTGGCGTTTGAGTTAAGTCCTGGAGGCTGCATAGTGGGAGTGAAGCAGGCACAACGTGTGTGAGGGTGGTGGGCAGGTTGAGCACTGTGGGCTGTGCTCCAGACACAGGGAACAGCATAGAAAAGCCCCCTCATGACAGGAGGAAACTTTGTGCACTGAAGACCCGAGAAACATGAGTATGGGCAGAACATAGAATTAGGGTAGAAAGTGGTGAGCTGAAAAGAGAGAGTTGTTAGGTTTTGGTTTCCCTGTTTATCATTTGAGGATATGGAGGCTCAGAGATGGTGAGTAAATTAATAAAACTCACACAGCAAGTAAGTGCTAGACCTGAGTTTTAGACTCACAGTTCCTTTAACAGCAAGATCAATAGTACATTTACTAAAAATTTCTTTAGGAGAAGCAATTTGGGAAGAAAATGAACTCTTGGGGATCATAACTAAGCAATGATTTGTTTGGGATGACATGCTTTAACCAACTAAAGCATGCTACTGCTACACGTAGGCAGGGGTTCCAGGGGAAGAATCAAATAGTTACCAATCCAGATCATGCTTAAGTAGATTTCTTTCCAAAAACAATCTAGAATATTAAAACAAAAACACCTTTGTTTAGGGTGAAAGTGACATTTCTGTCAATTTTGTCAATGTCAGATGATTCAACCTAATGTGTTATGTCGTTATCAAAGTTGCTTTATATATGTAATTTAAATTCCTTATCTAGATCAGCTGTGTCCAAGAGATGTTTCTACAGTTATGGAAATGCCATCCCATGTGTGAGCCACCAGTACATGTGGCCATTGAGCATTTGAAACCTTGCTAGCGTGACTGAGGAACAGAAATTTCAATTTTATCTAATTTTAATTAATTTGAATGTTGGCAGCCACCTATTGCCAATGACTATCATAGATTGCATCTCAAAAAACAGTGTTTTCAGAATCTTTTAAGAGAATTACAGAATCTGGTAAAAGAAATTAAAATTGAATGGTGTTTTAGTGGAGGTGGGTCTGGTTGTATTCCAGATCTGTTCCTCACATGGGGCTAATTTCAGTCACTGGCAGTGAATGACAGTTGTATGCAAATCCATTTCTCAGTATAGTCTTCCCTGCTTAACATTTGCATTTCAGATGTGCTTCATTTTTATGTCTACTGTTTTCAATCTATAGTGACTTCAAATTTCAGCTTTGAATTTCTCAGTCTAATTTTTCCTTAAGTGGTAAAGGAGCCCCAAGTGAACACGTAAACGTTATGAAAGAACCTGTCTTAGTCAGCTCGCGCTGCTATGACTGAATACTATCAACTGGGTAGTCGATATTTATTTCTCACAGTGGTGGAGGCTGGGAAGTCCAAGCTGGTAGCAGATTTGGTTTCTGGTGAGAGCTCTCTTTCTGGCTTCAGAAGGCTGTCTTCTCACTGTGTCCTCACATGGCAGAGAGAGAGAGAGACAGACAGAGAGAGTGAGAAACATGGAGGGGGACAGGAAGAGAGAGACAGAGAGATGGGAGGAGAGAGAGATGGGGAGAGAGATGAGGAGGAGAGAGAGAGAGACACAGACAGGAAAAGTGACAGTGAGACTGAGAGAGAGAAGAAGAGAGAGAGAGAAAGAGAGAGAGAGGGGAGAAGAGAGAGAGAGAGACAGAGCTCGTGCACTCTGATTTCTCTTTCTCAATAGGCACTAATCCTATCATGGGGGCCCTACTCTCATAGCCTCATGTAAACCAATTACCTCCCAAAGGCTGCTCCTCCAAATACCATCACATTGGGAGTTAGGGCTTCATCAGATCGACTGGGTTGGGGGACACACATTCAGTCCAGAGCAGAACCTTTCTATGAAATCATTTTGAAAAGCAAACCCTCATACATTAATTTGTCTTTAACTAGATAACACTTTCTTAAACTCAATGTGTAAGAATGTTAGAACTGGTGTAGAAATTTGTGTAGGTAGCAGACTCCTTGAGAGTGGGAACTATGCCTGATTCATCTGTGTATCTGGAGTACTTAGTCCAGTCCTAGCATGCCCAATCATTGTTAGTTGAGTTTTTCCATAATAAAAAGATCAAATATTCCTTAAAATTTTAGAGAAATATAGAATGTCAGAATAAGTTACTAAACCTCCCTAGGGGACTGAAATTTTTTTCCTTGGCTTTTTCAAAATATTTTGTTTTCATCTAGCATAATTACTCCAGTGTAGACTTGGCCACGTACGAAGGAGGAAAGCAAAATGGTGCAAGAACAAAGTATATTTTAGATAAGCAGACTTTGAATGCTGGACTTGCCTGTGGCTGGGGTACGCCTGCAAAATCCCAGTTTACGCCTGTTGCGCCAGCGTGTTTGTGGAGTTCTTTTTCACTCTCAGTAATGTCCTGGTTTGGACAGTACATTCGATGGCCACTTGCCTGTGGCTCTTCACCCCTCTGCTGGTTAAAGTACCATTACTCCTGTGCTGGTCCTGTTTTCCATTCCTGAGAAAAGGGGGAGGGGCTTTGCCTTTCTGTGGATCCCAGTTTAAAGCTTTGTACATTCTAAGCAGTAAATGCTTATTGAAAGAATAAATGAGTGAAGCTCTGCTTCTGTTAGAGCTCTGGACTATTCTGTAGACATTTTCCAGGAGGCATTCCTCTTGCTAAAGGGTGGGCAAGTTTAGGGGATGTGTGAGTTACCTGCTTCTAAGGTAGCTGATCGTATGATCACAGAAGCTGGGGAATGATCCGTAAACCAACTGTGGGTTTTTTCCCCCACTTTTAACATTATTTTTCTTCATCTTCAAAAAGGACTGGAGAAAATATAAGTTCAACTTTTCCAAATGGTTATAGAACAGTTGTACAAATGCCAGCTCTTTTTAATTACTTGCACTTATTGATATACTCAGTATTTATTGAGAGTCTGCGTTGTACCCAATGTGCTGAATGCCACAGTTAGGCAATAAAAGGCCACAGACCTCAAAAGCAAAGCTTGTTTTTTATCAGTTTGGATGAAAGTTATTTTCAGAGGTATGGAGTAGGTTTTGAAAATCTGGATTCTTCTGGCTCCTAATACACACAAGAAGAACTCCTTACACTGAGCAGAGCATATTGGTTGCATTTGTGTTTAGGGAACAGAGTATAGGGTTTGAATTGGATCCTGGGCATTCTGACACTTTGAATATTGGGGGTTTCGGGCTGTTGTGGGGTTAATTCTCTCAGTCTGCATATAATGTCAGTGAGACAAATACTACACGCCTATCTGCAGACAGCTGGTTGGTTTGCCGTGGCCAGTTTTGTGGTTTTGGTCCATCCCTGGCCCACTCACCCAGCAAAGTTGTTCCCTGTGCAGTGGATCGAGGCAAGCCTGAGTACAAACGCGTCCACTCCTGCCGAAAGCACTGCCTTCACTCGCCAGACTGCAGATGGTGCGGTCATGTTCGTGGGATGGTTCCCATTTGTATCCTTGTTTGAAATACTTTTTGTCTGTTTTTCTTCCTAGGTCCATGTACTTTTATTTACATATCATAAGTCTCCTGATAATATTATTTCTGCCAATCAAACCACAAGCTCATATTCAGAAGCAGCCACAGACTCTGAACTCTGTTAATGAGAAAAAAAAAGATTAATACCTCCAAGAAAAGCTGAACGAGGGGAACTGCAAAACGTTGGAAAGATGAAATGAAAAGGCTCAAGGTTCTCCAATGACTTAGAGGCAACGTGGACATGCATCTTTTTTTGTTTTTTAAGTGCAGGGAATATTTTTATAAAGCCTTTTTGTACCAGTAAATCAGCCATGTCCAGTTGATTTAATATTTTATAGGACACTTGAGTGGTGTGGAGAATGTAGCAGAGCTGCAGAGACAGTCCGTCCTGCGCTGCTGGGTCCGTGTTTTTCTGGCATGATTTCCAGCCACTGAAATCTGGATGTTGGAACCCAGGCTCCGGAAGTTAGAAGGTGAAGCTGAGATGACTTGTCTTCCAGAACATACCCAGAAATGGTTGTTCCTCCAGAAGCCCCAAATCCTTTGACTTGCGACATTGCTGTTTTCGAATAACTACACTCAGAAGACCGTGGAGTGAGGTTTTCAGGGTACCGAAGACTCTACGAGCCAGGAGGACCAACCGTGAACACTTGAACGGACTGGAAGGCAGACAGGCCCTAAAGTAGGCTGCGTTATTTTCCCGGGATGTAACTCTCCCCTTTTTTCTTCTGAACTGAGCCAAAATTGGAAATAAGAAAGTCTCCTGTCCCCACACCAGGAATCTAGGTGGGGCCACTGCTTCCAAATGTCTTCCACTTCACACGCGCCTTCTGCTGGGAAAACACGCAAGTGTTACCCCATCACAGGCAGCGAAATGTCTTTTAAAGAAATAATTTTTTAAAAAAGTAATTTAAAGTTAAATTGAAGTTTATGAAAAGCAGCAGCTATTTCTCTTTTCTCCCCCATTACACAGAGGTGTTCACAATCATGATGTACACACGGGCTGGTTTTCATTTTCCCGATTTCATAGCTGATTAAATCTGACTTGTTTTAGTTGACTCATCATATTGGAAAGCAGAAATTGAAAGATGGTTTACTTTTCAATCTTTGTTATGAATGTGCTGTGGCTCCTTCTGGGGACTTCTATTGAGTAGGATTCTCTGTGGGGAAGGGAAATGTGGCATTAACTATTGTGGAAAATAATAATAATGATAATAATAAAATATATCCTATAATGGTGTGCCCGCTATCAAATGCCTTGGGAAGAGAGAATTTTTTCAAATCAGATGGTAAAAGAATTAGTTTCTTAATGAATGAATACTGTGTTTGTATATAAAGCAAATATTTCTGAACAGAAGAATTGCTTTTTTTTTGTGCCAGTAGAGACTTGCCATTTTGAAGCACCTGTGTGTTTTTGTGTGTGTTTTAACAAACGTGCACAAGCTTAAGGTTTTACTTGTTGGAAATTGGAGCATTATAACATGTTCAGTTTGTCCTCTATGCAAGGGACTCAGACGGTTTGGTTTTGGGTTGGATTTCTAGCCTTTATTCTCAACTTTTCAGGCAGGACTTAATCCCCTTTTACAGATGAAGAAACAGGATCAGGAGATGTTTGCCAACTGCCCCATGGTCACAGTTCTTGGTAAAGCAGAGATCTGAATCCACGGCAGTTCCAAGAATGCCGTTGGCCATGCGTCTTTCCATGAGGTGTCCTGGTGGTGCCTTTCTTAGGAAGTGAAGTGTGAAATGATGTGCTTGTCCCATAAACTGGTGCTGGGCAGAGAACTAGAACCTGAACTCTGGTTCTTAAGTGAGATAATGGAAGTTAGGACATAGCACATTTGAGACAGTGTATGAGGTTCACCCCAACTTAACCAGGATATCTTGAGGCAACCTATTTTGCTGTCCCAGGAGGAATATTAGATAGTGGGGAGAAGGGAGGGGATGTAGGTGCCTGAAACCTGTCAGAGTCTGTCTCCAACGGAATATTTTGAGGTGTAAGATCAAAAACAATGCACATCTTGCATACCAGCAAAAATGCTATATATCACCAGTGCATGAAGTGTGTGGAATAATCCATATTACAATGCAATCTTTGAATTTGCAATATGATTTATGGCCGTGTTTCACTGTGTTGCAGTATCTTTAGTTCTGAGAGAACTTCAGTAGCGAGAGGAGAGGTGATCACTAGGGTGACCAGCAGTCTTGCTTTGCTAGAGACTCTGATGACCCCTCAACTTCTGGGCAAACTGGGACCACTGGTCCCCCTAGTGACGGCCCAGAATCAATGACTCGTCATGGAATGGAGTGGAAGTCAAGCCCCTGGAATCTGGGCTTTGTAGATGCCATATGTCAGGCAGTGCTGGGTCCTTGGGCACATTTTTCTTCTTGTGAGGCTTTTTTTCAGTACTAAAAGGAGAACACTTAGAAGACTGACTGGTACCTTTTTTCCCCTGAGAACTATTTACCCATAGAAAAAAATTTCAATGTAGGGCCAAAGTTTAGACAGAAGGTTGGGACTGTTTCTATTGCTTTCGAGTTCCAAGTTGTCCTAAATATAATATGCATTTAATAATTATGTATTGGGTTGATCAGCTTTCAGTTTAAAATAAATACATTTATGGTTTTGTTTTTGAAAAGGCCAAATCTAAAATAGTCTATTTTAGTGCTTTGTATATTTTAGTTGTGGGTCCTTCTAGTTGTGGCATGTGGGACGCTGCCTCAGCATGGCCTGACGAGCGGTGCCGTGTCCGCGCCCAAGATCCAAACCAGTGAAACCCTGGGCCACTGAAGCGGAGCGCATGAACTTAACCACTCAGCTGTGGGGCCGGCTCCTCTTTCACTTTTTAAGGTAACTGTAAGGAACCGGAACATTATTCAGTAGTTGCAAAAAGCAATAAATAATTCAGTCTGAGATTTTGACTGACTAGTGGAGAAAAAGGCTGAAACTGGGAGGAAAAAAGGGGAGTTTGTGGGTGGTCACCAGAGCTGGGGTGGGTGTGCCCTCCGTTACTGTGCGGGCTCTGGGCGGGGAGCTGATGGCCTTGCTGGGCAGTTCTTCTCCCAGGCTGCACAGTAGACCACCTAGGACGTGTTTTAAAAAGTGATCGATGCCCACCCCCTCGAGGGAACACATCTTGTTTCTCTTCTTGTCTCCAGCTCTTGGCATAGTGCCTGGCATATAATGAAGATTCAGTGTGTGTTGAATGAATGAAGGATTGAATGAATTAATTCAATGTGTTGTTCCACCTGACAGTTTTGATGGAGTCGCTTTTGCACTGGGAAACATCTTTTCTGCTTTTCAGAATTAGTTCTTGAAATAAAGGCTCGTGTTTTCAAGGGATTTTGAAAGCATGTTATGTGAAATAACCACTCATGCAGTCAGTTTACATAGGCTGAAAGTCCCTGGTCTGTCCATCCATTAATTAATGCATTCACTTATTTATCAAATGTTGTCATGTCTAGTATGGGCCTGGTGCTGTGTTAGGTACTGCAGGTAAAAGATGCTGAAGATGCATTCTCTGCCTTTGAGGAGCTTGCAGTGCGACCAGAAAGACACGGTCCAGAGCGTGTGCTGTGGGAGCGCCCAGGAGAAGCCCAGCATTCAGAATTATACCATATCTTTGTTTTCCTGTAAGTTTGGAGCCACCTTATTTCACGGTGCCTGAAGGTTCCCCAGGACAGCAACATCACTGCTTTCCAGCCTCATGTCCAGGATCTATGTCTGGTCCTTTAGAGTTAAACTTGCCCTTGTCCTGAAATTGGATGTTGACCGTGCAACATTATCAGCACCAGTTAACGTAGTAGCCACCCAAAGGAACAGGCCGTACTTCTAAAAGGTTGCCCATAGAGGTAGTGGGGTGGCTAGTCCTCCTCTGGAAGAATCTTTAGTGCAGGTTCTAGGTTCATTGAATGACTTCATGAGGCCTAGGAGGAAAAGTATTTGCAGAGAGAAGGCGCATCCCATGTGAGCTTTGTCTAACTCCCTAAACTATGTAAGGCTACCTACCAGAGGTTAAGACGACCAAAACTCAGTTCTTAACAGTTCCTGTCACATGCATTACCTAACACAGTTCCATGAGTTTGGTATTTTTATCCTCTTTTTGCAAGTGTAGAAGCCAAAGCTCAGAGACTTTAACTAACTTGTCCAAGGCCACCCAGCTAGTTAGTGGAGGAGCTGGGGTTTGAATCCTGGTCTGGCTAACTCCAAAATCCATCTCACCCCCCAGTGCAGAAGCACTTTTGTTTTCAGAGAGAGAAAATTTTAAAGCTGAAAGTAACACTACAGCTCACCTGGTCCAGTGGATTCCAAATGCACACTGGTGGCCCTGTCACTTGGGGAGCTTATGAAATATGCAGGGAGTAGGGAAATAGATTTGCTGTTGAGAAGAAAATGCTGGCCGCTGCTACTTCCATCTTCTAAGGGGAGCAGCAGAATTCCTATCAATGGAGGGTAGGGTAACCCTGCTGTTACTCTCTGCTGCTTGGGGAAGGAGTAAACCGGCGAGATGGGAGCCAAGCTAAATCCATTTGATTCTGTTCACTAGAAGGTATTTTGAAGCTTCTGTCAGTGCTTGTGCTCCTAGGAGACCTTTTGTTTAACATGATCCCTAGCGCATTGTGAAATATGCGAAAGTTGGCCTAGACTTTCAGTCCTTGATGTGTGTTGTGGGGAGCCACTTGGTTTGCTGGAGAAATGAACAGAACTTGGGAGGAATTAGGCATACACTGCTCCAGAGCAGAAGAATGAGACAGCAGAAATTTGGGGCCGGAGGAGAAGGGGAATTCCCAGTGGGTGGACTGGTTAGGGTGACCTTTAAGTGTAGGAAAGTGTAGAATAGCTGGGCTGTTATGGAATCTTCCTCTCTTACCGTCATAGCTAGAGGTTTTTTTTGGTGAGGAAGATTGGCCCTGAGCTAACATCTGTTGCCAATCTTCCTCTTTTTGCTTGAGGAATATTGTTGCTGAGCTAACGTCTGTGCCAATCTTCCTCTATGTTATGTGGGATGCCTCCACAGCGTGGCTTGACAAGAGCAGTGCTAGGTCCGGACCTGGGATCTGAACCTGTGAATCCTGGGCCACCAAAGCAGAGCACAAAAACTTAACCACTACATCACCGGGCCAGCCCTGAAGATGCTTTTAATCTTAAAGGTTGGTCTTGGTTCCAGTTTGGGCTGCCATTGGGAGGAGAAAAGAGAACAGACTAAGACAGAGAATAGAGTAGATGCTAGAGATTAGAGCAAGATATGCCCAGGAGTTATGTAAGCCCCCTGTGAGAATCCCCCAAAATACTGGCCAATATATGGGCCATTGGGTTGGGGGTGGTACTATGCTATGAATGAATTCAAATTCATTAACTGAATTTTTAAGTACAAGGATATCTTATAAAGTGAGAGACCCTGGGGATACGCTGGTAACAGACACCTTAGCAGATACTTGGTTACAGACTCACTCCAGTGTCCCATCCCCAGATAATTTGATTCAGCTGGTCTGGAGTTTTGCCTAGGAATCAGTATTCTTAACTTGCTTCCTACATAATTCTGATGTGCAGCCAGGTTTGGGAACTACAGGCTCAATCTAGTTTTTTTTACATCTGGGGAAACTGAGGCCCCGGGAGTTGAGTGACTTGCCCAAGGAATCACAAAGCTCTTCTGGAGCAGAGTTGAGGGAAGAAGCAAATTCTCTTGACCAAGCACAGTGTACTTCTCACTAATACACACGCTTCTTCCCTTCTAACAAACACTCAGCAGAATGCACTTCATGGGGACAAATGGGACAAGAGGAGCCCTCCAAATTTTCTGGAATCAGCATGCCCCTCTAAGGCCGGAGGATTAGGGTACAGGTGAGTGTTTGGGTGTGTTTCAGCAGACCTGGACATCCTCATGCCCTGGGTACCAGTTGGCCTTCACGTGCCACAACATAATGTCAGCTCCTAGGCCGCCTCCCAATTTTTCCAGAACTGCTGATCCAAACTGTCGGGGCAGATGGGGAGCTCTTTTCTGGACACTGCAGCACTTTTCTCTATGCCTTTCTGGATCCACATAGCCCTGAGGATCAAATGGCCCCTTTTGTTCTCAAAGAAAATTCATACAGAATAAGCACTTTTGAGATTAAAATATACACAGTCTAAGCAGTTGCCAGCTACAATGGTCCATTCATTCCGGGCCTTCTTTCTGTCCATTGTCTTGTGTTTCACAGGCGAAATGACCTTTCAGCATTTCCAGCTGCAGCCCCGGGTGGCAACCGTCTCTGTGTGCACTGGCCTGGAAAAGCCCAGATGCTGGAACAAGTTTGCTGCCTGGTCACCAGCCCCTCTCCCTCCAGTGCTTCTCTAAGCTGCTGCCAGAGAAGCTTCCT